TTTGGGAGAATGGTATTTAGGACAAATGGTTGTGTCATTTTCATCTTTCTAAAGACTCGTTTCTGTCAATGTTTGCTTGACTGAACCTTTTTTCTTTTTAATCACCTTCCTCTCCTTCTTTCACTATTGTTTGTACTTGAGTAATTTCCTTTCCATGGATCATTCTGGGATCCTCTGTAAGTTTCCCTAAATGCTGTCCTCCAAACAGTTGCCGATTGATAAGCACTTGCTGCTCTCACCCTCAGCCAGTCTGGGAACAATAAATGATCAGCCCATTTTGGGAATAGGCAGCTTTTCCGCTTGCATTGGTCAGCAAATTACTTACTTGCTCTGATTATATTTTGCTTAATTTGTTTTTAATTTTGAGGTCAGAGGTTTGCAAATAGCCTTTTACACTGTGTATAGAGAGACATATTTCTGTTTGAATAAAGTGGGTAGATAACTGGAGTGCCTAATTGCTGCTGTTGCTGTTTTTCTTTGTCATTGTCATTATCATTTTGAAAAGCATTTATTATGAACCTATGATGGGCATCTGGAGCTGAGTTAAGCCTTGAGAAACTCAAGAGAGATATCCACAGCAGCAGCACATTACCACTGCTTGATTCCAGTCCCATTAATGATAAAGAGTAAACAATTGAGCAAACAAATAATTAACAGCACATAAAATAATTGCTTTTTGACCAAAGAATTGGTGGGGCAAAAGTATATGCCCAGAGGAAGTAAAGTACTCCTTGTTAAGTCCACCCCATATAAACAGGTGAATGGTGAAATTCCGATAATAACAAATCTAGGAAAATAATTTGGAAAATGAATAGCAGCAACATTCCACTAGGAAGAAGGTCTGTGGGAGACACCTGAATGGATCAGAAAGCTGCCTGCCAACCTTTTGTAGAATTACATCCTATAACCATATGCTGAATCTGAACAAGCCAAGAGAGTGAAGGTGCATTTAATTTTTGACGACACTGAGCTGTCAGAAGGACTAATACCAAAAAAAGAGAGACGTAACATATTTGAAACCTATAAATTGCAATTCATGTTCATTTGTCACATTGAGGAAAAGCAAATAAAGTTTCTTCCTCCTCCAGAAGTAGATGATGAATGATTGCTCAGAGTTGGGTGGCAGAGGTAGTGTTGCCATTATTGACTTTCCATGGAAAACAATTCATCTGCCAATGCAGCCCTGCAAGTCATAAGTAAACTGGTTCTAATAACTCATGGGCTGATCTGAACAGATAATAATTACTTTCCTGTTACAGGCAGTCTCTAGAACAGCGAGGATTTGTTCAAGAGTACTGGGACTCCCGATTTTGCAGGGGTCCCAGGCTGCATTCAGCAGAAGGCAGGAATGAAAAGGACTCATCCATTCTTTTACTCATTTACAAAGATACATGGCTCAACTATGGAACAAGCTTTGTTCCATGCAAACAATGCCCTCTTTTTCAGAGAGCTCTCATTAGGAATGTGCAAAGCTTGGATTTATGACTTTTACAAAGTCCCCTAAAATTCTGTTATTCAGATTATACTCGTATACAAAGGACTGTTTACAACAAAACACTGTTTAGAGTCATATGAAGAGTCAGAAGAGGATAGTCATTCTAAACCGGCAAAGCAGGGATCATTGAGCATGTTTAAGCAATGTTATCTATTATTCTTATAGTGTATTTGATAACTTGAACTTATCCTTTTAAAAATATTTCCCAGTAGAAACCCTTCTTGAGAAGATAGGACTTATTCGTTTATAAGTATCTAGTCTAAATACTGGATAACATTATTTATGTTGTTTCTTGAGTATGTTAAACCTTTTCTATTTAACTCTTGTTAAATTATTTAATTACTTATTAACTTATTTATTTTTAATAACCTACAAAATGCAGGACAAACATAAATTCATTAGAAGCAAATGTCAAAGAATTAGAATTTAAGAATAAAATAATAAGGTTTAACTTTTCAGTTAATAATTCATTAAGTATGTACTATGTTTCAACCATGGTAACAACCATATTTTAATTAATTTGAAAGTGAAGTTAAGTAGCTGGCCTAGATTATACACAATGATATGTGTTAATGCGTATGCATTTTTTTGTATGTTTATGGCTCAGTTAAAAATAAATATAGGCCATAATATTAAATTTTTTAAAAATCAGAATAAAAATTTCAATCTGTGATAAAATAGATGTGGATTAAAAAGAAGGAAACACAAACATGGCTTAGCTTGGAGTGATAGGGTCATGAGCAATTTATTTTTCTTTTGTTTTGAATTCTACTGGAAGTCTTACAGAGTTGTTTGTGCAATAAAAAATGGCTAAATGAACATGGATCCAGATTAACCTCTTCATTTTCAGTAGATTTGTGCAGAAATCAGAGAGAAACCACTGGAATGCTTGTATAGTACAGATACATCTATAAAGCTCACTGGGAAATTTCCAACTATCATCTGTCATTTCCAAAATGTCAGATTCCCATATGGAGTGTTTTAGATGAGGGCTGTATGGAGAAGGTAGGATTTTGGTCTACATATTTTCAGTACCCAGAAGAAAAGTAAAGGAAGCCACTAAACTTATTTGTACAATATTAAATATATACATGTTGGGAAATATTTGCATTAGTCTACATCCTTACCCAGTATTACCTGAATGTGAAATATGTCATACAGTCTGATCACTTAGGGCATAAATGAGTATCAAATATTTTTAAACAAATGAGAAATAAAAACCAACTGACTTAAGAGATATTTGTAGGCCCAGTTTTGAATTTTGTTTAATTTTATTTTGATGAAAGATTCTGCTAGGAGAAACAGGTGGAAAGATCTCTACTCATAGGAGGAGAGGAAAGCTTATTCTAACAGGGAACTAGAAAATCAGAGGGGGGAAATGAGCCTCTTCATATTGTCATGGAAATTACTTTTTGTCAGTAGTGCAAAAAGGTTGTTATACATTATTGTTAATGGTGGTTGGAGACACAAAACAATATGATCATTTGATGGCTTATTTGTTATTCAAAAAGTGACAACCTTTATGAGTCAATAAATATGAAATCACCTGGAAATATTCCTGGGAATTTAGAAGCCATCTCAATGTACTCGCTTAATGTATACACTAGATTTTAATGAAGCCATGTGAGTTTGTACTTAGCAGATTACCTGATGGCTCCTTGTCAGCCCTCTGATGAGGGAATGCTGTCTGCTTGTTGAATGTGAGACAGAAAAACCCATAACTTTGTCAGAATTAATGGTTGGTGGGCAGTGGCTTCCCTGGAACATGGTATGAGAGGCAATTAGTCTTCAATTTTGTGTGTGCTTTTCATCTTGTCGGGAGTGCAGCTGACAGCCACAGCATTGCCCTCGCCCCACTGCATCCCTTTTCTCTTCTTCAAGAAGAGAAGGTTGAAAGAACAGCAAGGAACTTAAATTCGGTCTGGATAACATAAACAGAGTTCAGGCAGAATGTGTCTGGTATGCAATCCTCTTGTGCCATTTCCAGTGACAGGACACCACTTTCAAAGATAACACGAACTATTCTGAGGTTTTAATATGATTGCTTCCAAGTGCTTTCAAAAGCTCAATGTGTTTGCCTGGCACTCTGCTCTCACATGACATAACTCCTATCTCTCTCTCTCTCTCTCTCTCTCTCTCTCTGTGTGTGTGTGTGTGTGTGTGTGTGTGTGTTTGTGTGTGTGTGTGTGTGTGTGCCTGTCTGTCTGTCTGTCTCACACACATACTCCTTTTCCTGTAAGTGCAACGTCCTCACATCCTTGGCTGGTGATTTTTAAACTCTGGGCTGCAGTGATGCAGTAATTTCTCTTCATACAGCAACACATTAAGTGCATCATTCATGCTTCCCTGAACCAGACTCAGGGAGTGCCAATTAATAAGTCGATGGGGAAGAAGTCAATGGGTAGCATTAAGGCCACCTGTCTGGAGACATTAGATGTGCACTCTGAGTGAAAGGAAAGGAAACTCAGAGAGCATTGGGTACTTTATCACACATTCCTAGAGGCATAAAACGAGAGAATAAAAAGAGATTTTTAGGGCAGTTCTTCCATCTTGCTGCTCTTGTGAATTCTGCACATTGCTCTGGCCAAGATGTGGCATCCCAATGAGAGGGTACAATTTTTGCATATTCATAGCCACTTCTGTGGTGAAGATTGTGAAAAGTAACCAACTACTCTTTCTGTGGGACTTCCATTCACAGTGTCTGTTCTGGGTATCTTTCTAATTCCACATGACTACTCTGAACACTCTTTCCACTCATTCTCTTATTCATTCATTCATTTGACAAATATTTATTAGGTGTATGATACATGTTGGACCTCAGTCTACCTGCTGTGAATACACCTATGAACAACACAAATACCCCTATTATCACAAAGTCTGTGTTCTAGCAGAGAGTATATAAATAAGAAAGAAAACAAATATGTAAATTATTTAGTAGGTTAGAAGGTGGAGAAGGCAATGGAGAAAAATAATCTTTGTGAAGTCCGTAAAGAAAGATTTCGAGAGTCGAGACTTTGATTCAAGATTCAGAAAGTCTAACGAAGCATGACATGGGATATTGTTGATGTGGAGTAAAACATCTTGCAATATGGAAGAAAAACAGTGGACTCCATCCTCTTGTAATCTCATAATTCCCACAACAGACTATAGCCAGTCTTTTATTCCCCCAAAATAGATAGTAGACAAGGAACAGTAGGAAGAAGGGGAAAGTTAGAAATAACCTTAGAAAGAAAACAGTGTGTCCTGTGAAAGAGAAGAGAATGCTGTCATTTATTTTGTCTTTTTTTTTCCAACTTACCCTGCCCCTTTCATTTCTTAGTGAAAATGATTGTGCGATTGGCCTAAGGTAGAAGAATACACCAGACTGAGTCAACATACCTGCTGGGCCAAGCATTCTTTGCCTGCCCCTTGTCTTTTCCTTGTCAAAATTTTAGCTCATTTTCAAGTTTTGTAAATTTGTAAACTTAACTTTTTGTTGTTTTTCTCCAACAATTCTTTGCTGCAGATTATGTTACTCACAGATCCAGAGATTGAAAGCAGTTTATTGATCAGCTCAGATGAAGGGGCAACTTATCAAAAGTACCGGCTGAACTTCTACATCCAAAGCTTGCTTTTTCACCCCAAGCAAGAGGACTGGATTCTGGCGTACAGTCAAGACCAAAAGGTGAGCATGCTTGCCATGTTTGAGACAAGGGCGCACGGTTCTCCAGGGGAAAGAGGGCTAGTTAATCATATCTTCATTTCATCTCAATTATCATTTTGTTCTGTGCAGTAGCCTGAACTCTGTGCCAGTGGGAAAAAGGGCAGCAAGGAGGGTCTCAGTTTGCTTGCCTAAACCTCAGCAAAGTCTGAGTAAGATATTGTGGAGAAGCAGTTCTTAACATGGATGCTTAAGGAAGTCTAAACCCGCTGAATTTGTGATAGTGTTCTATGTACATGGATAGGTGATTATTTCTCTTGGTAAAGGACCCATAGTTTTTTCAGACTCTGAAAGGGAAGCATAATCCCCAAATGGTTATGAACACTAAGTAGGGGTTTGCTAACAGTGAAAAAAAATGGCCAGAGGAACAATAATAACGTACACTGGTAACATTATTCAGAACCTGGTTATCTCAGTTATCTCACCTACTTTTCTTGGTGCTAAGGTTGAAGGAGAAGTCCCCTTCTTAAGAAGACTTTAGATGAGATCATACTATAATGTGTGTGTGTCTAATAAAATGTCATCCTCCAATATATATTATATGCTCTATACTACATATATACTATAAAATACAAATAGTCTTTGCCTTTAAGAAACTTACATTCTCAGGTAGAATAAAAGGCTAGCTATAGCAAATAAAATTAAATAAATATGAAAAAAAACCACATATACCTAAGCAAATGTGAGAGACTCTAGCCATAAGAGCCAAATAGAAAATAGGTGAAATATTGTAATGCTCTTTGTGAGGTGCATTCTTCAGTGCAGTTATTCAGAGAATGCTCCTTAAAAGAATCATGTGTTAGAAATTACATATGTTTAATGAAATACTGTGTTAGGGTATGGACAGGGTGAGGGCTGCATGCTAGATAGAGAGGCAAGGGGGCGTGCAGCACCAGTAACCCAGAGATCCGAGTAAATGCAAAGAATTGCAACATGCAAAGAGGTTAAGAGAGAAAAGTTTATTTAAAAAGCAAATTAGAGAGAGAGAAGGGAGAAAGAAGATTCACCTCCCCAAGGTAGGGGAGGGAGACCAAAACCAGGAAGCATGGCACAGCTATAGCTCTAAAAGCACATGGCCACACCAGAGTCTACCAAGGCAATGGCCACTGGTTGCTTGTGGTTGAGTCCTTTTAACCATTCCCCTAGATGGGGGAAGATCATTAAGGTGATTGGGTGGTGGTCTGCTTCCATATCATCACAAAGCGGCAGGCAAGCGCAGGTACTGATGATGTCAGGTGATGGACAGCAGGCAGATGGGTGGGCTAGTCACATGATTGCTGCCATAGTGAGGCTTAAAGGGCTGATTAGGTCAATTCTGGGTGGGTGTTTCCTGCAAGAGACTTGTTAGACATTTGCAATTCACAATCTCAGACATTTGCAGCTCACAAATTCCTTGACCAAAGGTGGGGTGGTCGTATTATTACTTTAATGACTTTGGCCAACCAAAAGTTTACTAGAGATTATTATGCTAAACCATGTATTGAAAGGTTGGGTTGTCCTGATCTTGCATCTGAAGGAGATTTGCCAAGGGGGATGGGATAGGCTGCTGTTTGTCCTGCAGTAGAATATCTGAATGATTTCTAATGGTTATGCTGAGGCAAAAAGACTAAACCCTTTCTTACTGTACTTACCTAAATGAGTAAGATATTCTAGGGTTTTATCTGTCTGGGCTGGTATAGATTGTATGGGGTTCTTGCAGGCAAGGGAATGGTATAAGCAACTTCCTAAGGTCTCTACTCTGACATGAGCATTTTGGAGGAAGCAAATTAAAATTCTTAAGTTTGGAGTTTTATTCATACTACCCTTACTGCCAAATAAAATGCACATTAAGCCTAAAAATAGACAGGATTTACAATTAGTACTTTTTTTTCCTTTTGAGCAGCCTGGCTACCCTTTCAGCAGAATGTACAATTTTGTTCCTGGAGTCAAGCCACAGTGCATGTGGTCCAGGATGGTGCAGTTAACAGAGGCAAGGGCTGAGCAACTCAGAATATTAGTAATTTAATCCACTGGGTTATTGTATTTTATTTGATAGTTTGTAATGTTCCCCCTGATGCCAGAGACACAGTGGGGGCCAGATTTACCTGGCTAATTGAAAACTATGCATGTTTGCAATTATACTAGAGGGGATGCCCAAAAATGTAACCCTTCATGTTCCAGCACTTCAAACAGTGCCTCCCGAGGTCACAGTGAATGACACTGGAGGAGTTAGAATACCTGGGCTGTGGATCCAACTCAGCCACAATATTTAGTGTTGGCTTCTGTTACCTTAAAATGTGATAATTATAATTGAAGGTGCACTTCCAACATAATTGAAAAAATAAATATTAGTTTCTACATCTGTTTTAAGTGCCATGCATGGTGTAATGATGGTATAAAATAACAGTAACACAGAACTTTCAAACCATCTGGAGACAGAAGATTAATACATATGAGTTCACCAGTAGTTTAAGAGAGGTCACAGAGGCTGTGTTTTCACTGATTTGTAATAGATACATGGTCACAGTGGCTGAATGAATTGTATGAAATTTGTAGCCCAAATTCAGGAGGTGGAGATCTATTTACTCTAGAGATCTTATAAAATGATTTCACCTGGACCTTAATGAATGTTTCAGATTTATGTTGCAGGATAAGGGGGACACTTGTTTTTACAAAAGGAATGTCATAAACATATGATGTTGCAAAAACCATGTTTATAAGATTACAATTTTTGGCTGAAACAAAAGCTAATGAATACACACAATTTGGAATCTAATCTTGATTATTTTTCACTGTTTTGGCTGTTTGTTAGGCAAAATAATGTTTTTTAAAATTAAGAATCTTTGGAAATTTTGGTTAGGAGAATAATGTATTCAAGGTCATAGATTACAAGGGTAAATTGGTAGTAATGTAAAGATGAATTGTGGTTATATGAGGTCAAAAACAAGACCAGTTAGGATGGTATTACAGTATTCCTGCCATCAGATGCTAAAGGCCAGGACCAAAAGTATCTTTTGGGACCATAAAGCCAATGAATTCTGTCATTTTTCAGGTTGGAAGAAGGCTTATCAGGTGTTTTTATTTTTGTTTTCCTCTATGAAGCTAAGGATCCAAATATCTGAGAGGTTAATATACTTTCTCAAAATGAAAACCACTAATTGTTATCACATGTGGACTTTCTATGACTGGAATAAAGCCCTACATGAAATTCGGTAGATTTCTCATTCTTGAGAGTGATATTTTAAGATGAACAGATGGGCAGAAGCTGGCCTTTCTCCTGATCTCTCTGTTTCTCCAAGAGAGAATGAAAAATAAATCATTCTGGAAAAGAAAAATTGTAGATAACCTCTTATACAAGTATGCATCAGAGAAGACTTCTATTATCTTTCGGCTTGAATCACAGGATGAGAAGTGGTGCATTAGCTGGAAGGGAGTGGGCAGCAGCCATCCGATAAACCATCAGCTGATAGCATTGACCATAAGTCAAGAGAAACTGTGACCACTCAGGTGGGTTAATGCTATGAAAATAAAAGCTAAATAAAAGCTCCGTGTATCATGGAGTTTTTAACACTAAAGATGAAACTATAGGCAACAAGGAGGACCACGTATTGATAGTTGCTGGTCAGTGACTGCTATTTGCTCAGGAAAAAGGAGCATTTATTCTTTTTTTTTTTCTTTTTTTGATTTGGAGTCTCACTCTGTTGCCCAGACTGGAGTGCAGTGGCCGCTCCCGGCCACCGCAGCCTCGACCTGCTGGGCTCCAGTGATCCTTCCGCCTCAGCCTCCTGAGCAGCCGGAATTACAGGCGTGTGCTACCACGCCCAGCTAATTTTTTGATCTACTGTAGAGATGAGGTCTTGCTGCCCAAATGGGTCTCAACCCGCAGGCTCAGGCAATCCACTCACCTCAGCCTCCCAAAGGTGCGGGATTACAGGTTGAACCACCGAGCCCAGCATTTATTATTTTATATAAATATTACTCATCAATTTTTCTGTGGCAGCTGTTAATGCTCCTGCAGATTTCCCAACTAAGATCTTTGCTAGTATTCACTCTGCTGGATGCTGTTTTACATCAAACTCTGGCGAACAGAATCCTCAGTAAAGATATCATTCCTGGCTAGGCACAGTGGCCCAGCCTGTAATCCCAGCATTTTGGGAGGCCAAGGTGAAGGGATTGCCTGAGCCCGTGGGTTAGAGACCAGCCTGGGCAACTTGGTGAGACCACATTTCTACAATAAATCACAAAAATTAGCCAGGCGTAATAGCATACGTCTGTAGTTCTGGCTACTTGAAAGGCTGAGGTGGAAGAATCACCTAAGCCCAGCAGGTCGAGGCTATGGTGTCAATGAGCGTGCCACTGGACTCCAACCTGGGTGGCAACAGTGAGACTCCAACTCAAAAAAAAAAAAAAAAAGATATCATTCCTTAGAAAACACCTTGTTGAGGTGTCAGCTCCTTCAGAACGTGCCAATGAATCCCTTTCTTCTTTTTTTATTAAAATTGTTGTCTTGTCTTTTAAGGTATACTCTCCCTCTTTTCAACACATAGCCACATTTATTTTTCACTTATTTCCCTGACATTGCTTTTTCTCTCCTTCAGTGATTTTGCCTTTCAATACCCTGAGGACAGAGTTTGAATCTCTGGCCTACAGATACAGCCCATATGGTGTTTCCAAGGATGCCTTAACTCCCAGTGGAGGCTTTTTGATGTAAGAGATATATGGAACTCGAAGAGTTTTATTGAGTAGATTGTGCTTTTTAGCCCAAGATAGAATTTTACTGGCCATCAGTTCCATAAGAGTTCATATTAAGCAAAAGAAAGTGGCTTTTAATGAGGGAGAAATGATCTCACCAAATATCCCCAGAATTCACTAAATTAAGTAGTTTGATATTTTTGTGTTTTTCCTTAGAAGGAGAATCTTCTTGAGATATTAAACATCCAGATGCTTGTATTAAAGTTGTCCAGAAAAACAAGACCAATAGTAGA